TTGCTTCTTGGACAGGGACGTACGTGTGATCACTTTTTTATCGTTTTTTTTAAGCTTAATAAGAACGTGTTTCTTCATTTGCACCAGAATAAGAAATGTTAGGTTGAATTTGTTAATAAATGGGATAGAAATGTTGATGGATGTTGAAAGTTGATTTGTTTTTATCATATGTATCTAGCAACATTTTGTAAGTCATCATGGAGCCAAATATATCCTTTTATTTTTTTATATGTTAGCAAAATATCCCTCCATTTGCCTCATTAACTCTCAAAAGAATCCATATTAAACTAAGTACGCTTGGCGCAGCTATTGTTTGATTTTTTTGACTTTGCAGTCCCGTTTGCATATTATTGCTTTCGTTTGTTCGTTGCAATTAAATAGAAAAAGAGAAAAGATCACATGAAAAATTATCACAGAATTATGCATATCATATTGTGCTTAAAAGTATGCACCTTTCATGTTATCTTATGTGCCGTAGTCTAAGAGACAAAGTCATGATGGAAGGACAGTGAAGGCTTTGGGTTAATCGGCCTTACGTTTCCCTCCCTGGTCGACTCTTCCCTCGGTACGCCACATAGTTCTAAACAAACACGCAAAAGCACACAAATAGCCAGATACGTCACCAATAAAATGCTTTTAGAAGAAGTAACATGAATATCTTTTTGGACTTTTTTTTTACACATTTTCCTTTCAAAACGTTGCTATAAACACGGGCGCGCAACAAGCTCGTTAGTGTTTATGATGGCTGGTTAGGACCATATGACCAGTTCATCAAGCACGGTCTCCAGGTACATATATAAGGCAGGCAAGGTCACTACTAGGTTCAAGTTTTCAACAATCAGGTCACCACTAATGATTTTCTGGGTCACAAATGATTCAAGTAAGGGTCACCACAGAAAATGGGAATGTCTGGTCTTTTCCACCATATAAAATTGGGTTAGGGCTCACTACCACGCTTCCACAAGGGTATACTCTTTGATACAGTATTCAATTTTTTGTTATAAATTAATAACACATGGAACCAAAGAATTTTCATTTGTGAATACAAAGGAAAATATACATTAAAGGGATGCATCAGAAATGGAAGGATACTGTAACTAATAATCATATTACACACTACGCCCTAACATTACGTATAACCTACATAAAGTGTGTATTCGTATCCTAATATATAAGATTAGTTGCACAGCATCGTATACTTCGTTACAGATACCTGAATTGATAAATGAGGTTGTGATGATTTCAGAAAATAAATTCTCTTCCTGTATATAGGGAGATCGTCTTTACAAGTATCTCAGACTAATTATCTGAATCGTATGAGATGAATGAGGATTCTTTGGTTCCTAGTGCTCAATAGTAATAATAATAGCATGATTTTTCTTCCGACACTCTTAGCATCCTGCTCTCACTTGATTGTTCACATATCCCCTTTCATTTTTTTTACATTAAGGTTCATCACAGTTAGCTAGTTCCACACACACGGTCTTGTTCTAAAAATCACTGAGTGTCACAAAATAACCGTTGTTTTTTTTCCTATTACAACAATACCAATCTTGATCTGGAGGAGGCGGGTCTCATAGGGGTCCCGGCCAGACTTGGGTGCTGTTCGTCAGGCACAGGAATCTTGACAGGCAGAAGGTTGTGCATGGTCGTGTGGGCGTCTTTGGCACTCCGAGATCATGGAAGGAGAGGAAGAAAAGAGAGAGAGAAGACGAAAGAGAAAAAGGGATGGAGAGGGAGACGTGGAGAAGGAGGATTCTTTATCACCGGTTTCTAATATCACTAAATGTAACTGCTGTCTCGTCGCTACCTTATCAAAACATATTGGCCTAAGTTAAGATCCTCACGAATAATCGACAGGCGATGATTTCGTTTAATCTAACAGTATCTTTAACTGACTACATTTGGCCCCAGCTGATAATAATCTTAACTTTTACTTCGTCTTCACGTTAACTTTAGTGGATGGTTACGTATATGAATGAGATGAATTATGTCCCTATCAGTTCTTTATGATTAATCAAATACCTTGTCATCACGCTCTGTTAAAAATACGAGGAAATGCCAGTATATTGTCTGTATATAGTATACTTAATTAAAGCTCTCGTTATCGTGAAAGTGTTTGTTGTGAACATAATAGGGCCATAATTGACGAAAAATAAAATCTCACTCTTGGGAAAAACTCAAGTTGGTAAATACTTTTAAAATAATTTCCGAATCAACAATTTTATATTTTTCGTCTTTTTTTTAGATAACAAAAATCACATGTTATTAAAATATGCCAATCAGTGTTTGAATATCATGTGCATATTTGAAAAGTAATATTTACGAAATAAATTGGCATTACATTCTATATGATTCACAATCATTATGCTTATAAGAATATTCTATGTGTCTTTGTACATGTAAACTGTTGTCTTATGCATTGTCTTGAGTTTATCACGCAAAATAGAAATATTATTTTCTATATCGTACTATCAAAAAAAGAAAGAAAAAACTTGTC